TTAAGCTGGCAAATTTTTCGCTAATTTCGACCGAAGATATTTGAAAATTTCAGCATTAAAACGTTGTTATTCATACCGTGCGAACAACAAAATCGTTATTCAAGGAACAAAATAGCTTCTTTTATAGTAACTAACTTCAAATATGGGCTTTAATACCACGGGATTTGTAAGATTTTTACTTATTCAAAACAGATTGATAACGCGTTGAGACTTAAATAAACCAAACTTCACAAATAGGAGGAAATAATAAGGGTACTCATTTAAAAGCGCAAAACTCGCAAAAACTAGGCAATCTGTGCAATTTTAAACCATCGCAAATAAAATGTCAAAATTTGTATGGCAAGCCATTTGCACAAAGAGAAACTTTGTTCGGAAATTTTGTCGCGCAAATTTGCGCAGTTTGCTGTGCAATTCTCAATCAATTATTTTGTGTGCTTTCATTTTGATTTGTGCTAAGGACTAACATATTTAAATTTCAGTTTCAATTGTTCAACTTTTTAAATTAAGTATCGTCAAGATGAGTACCGCGTATAGATGAGTACCCTTAGTATAACTTTTACTACAAAATTTCGGTAAAATTTATGCTGCAAAGCCTAAAACAAATAAAATTGTACAATAGAAAAACAATCCAATGCCAACAAATAAATTTATCTTTAAAACTTTTTTAAATAATTGGTAACCTATGCTCGTTTCTTTGCACATATTTGAAAATTTTTCTACGAAAATTTCAAACATAATGGTACAATTAAATTATCTTGTCATAAACTAATGCATATTTATAAAGTTCTTTATATTCTTTTGATATACATAGTTAGTGAATACTATTGGTTTTTTATTTAACTAGTTTTTCCTTTTTGAATAATAGTATGTTCGGAACACCTCCTACACACTCACGTTTCCGAAGCAACAATACATGGCAACGGCAACATGAAAGTTTATTCAGTAAAAAAAAAGAAAGTTATTAAAAATCTCACTTTATCCTACTCAAATTTAATGGGCTATAAAACTGCTTACCTAATTTTTTTTTTTTAATTGTGAATAAAAAGTTCAAAATTTTTGGTGGAAACTTAATTTTTATACATGGTTCGAAATGGGGATTTATATGGTGCTTGTTATATAATGCCTTATAATAAACATTAAATAAAGAAAATCAAAATGTCACTTAACTTAATCAGCTGATTACAAATGTATCTATATGAACATATTTTTTTATTTAAAAAGTTTTGACACTTACCTGGAGTAAATGTCCTCCTTTTCTGATTCAATTGTCCTACCAAGCTAAATGTTCATCTTGTAACCCTACATATATTTTTGACGATAAATAGGCATTTGAAATAAGCAATTCGGAGAGAATATTGAGTTTTCGGTGTCAGTACTACGTCAGCTGCAGAGGGTTAAGACGCAAAAAATTAATATTTCTTCTATCACAGAAAAAAAAGAAACCATTCTATTTTAAGAATTTGTTTAAAAACTACGTAATCTTTTAATTTCATGCTATATTTCGTCATTTTATAGCCATGCAAAGCGAATTCATATACGGTGGTATTGATTCATCAAATAAAAAAATTACTTGTATTTAGTTTTTGGTTTTAGCGGGCCATTGTCAATTTTCAGATATTCTTCCCCGTATGAAAAAGGGCGACAGAAAGTACAAA